GGGGAAGGGAACGCCTTTAACATCAACCATGGTGAGCTCCTGGAGTATTGGGGATTCGGTTTCACTTCGTGGGCTGCGCCTGGTCTTACAGGACCGGACATGCATCGGCCTGACAGCCCAGAAGTCCTTCATAGCGCAAGTGGCAGAGCATACCTTCGCGACACTGACTTCCGGTCTCGACTTTATGCAGTTGCCGCTAGAACAAGCAGCACGACTGCGTGACCCACATGTCGGTAAGTGGGAACCTTCGTGCAGTACAGTTGCTACAGGTGCTGCTGGTGTTGCGGTTGCATGCATGACACCTGGAAGTGTGCCGTTCACAGAGCTTCACGACCTCGGCGGCGCCATCGTTGTGCCTTCTACATGTATCCGTGCTGGGACTGACAAGCTGCCAAAGGCGAATGCGTGGCATGATAGCCTTGCGAGGAACACATGCTGCCATTTCAGGTTTTCTTCGGAGTCTGTGGGACAACATACGCATGAACGTCGCCGTACTGTGTTGGACTACGACAGTCACAGCAAAATGTGGACCCCGCCTTCGGACAAGACGGTATTGCAGCTGGTGGTGACGGTATGTATGTACGTATGTATGTATGTATGTATGTATGTACGTATGTATCTGAATGTATCTATGTACGTATGTATGTAAGTATGTATGCATGTATGTATGTATGTATGTATGTATGTATGTACGTATGCACGCACGGATGCATGGATGTATGTGTGCAAGCACAGTTTTTGATCCAAGGAGAAGCCGCAGCCACCTTGTGCCTGGGCAGATGTCAATAGCGGCGCAAATGGCACAGTCATTCAGCATCGAGGGCCCATGCATTGCAGCTAGTCAATTGTGAGCTCGTTTGAGGGCCTTCATCGTGGGTCCCATGTTGGGAGGGCTCATCTACGGCTATGGGTCGGGCGGCATCCTACGTGTAACCCTCTGTGCTGGCCTTATGCGACGGGGCTGCAATGAGGTTCAAAGGTGTGTGAGAATACTTCCGAAACGCCTTGAACGCCGTGTCGAATGTGGCCGAGCTGCCAAGCTGCTACAGGCAATTGATTGCTGCCTCGCTGGTTCATTATTTCCTGGAGGGCATGCCTCCGCCGGTCCGCCAGCATGTGTCATTCGCGTGTTGGAGAAACTGCTGGGGTGCTCTGGCAGGGCGGCGAAGTTCGAACCGGGGAGTCAGAGAATACCACACGCGAACTACCTGCATTTGGATTGGCATCGATTCTATTGCTACTTGGCAGGCAGTTTAACAAGCCATGAAACCATTGAACAAAGGGATTGCTCCTGCATGTTCATGTCTTGCTCAGGTGCAATCTCATTCTCATTCACATTCTGTACACCTGTGGCGCAGCAGTGTTCGACAGCTTCTTCGGCGTCGCACGACAGCGAGCAGCATCGCGTGACATTGCCAGAGTAATCTTGAAAGCGTGTTAAATCGTGCACATGCATGTTCAGAAGCACCCCTCCGCCTCGGGCCGGCAGATCCGGCAGCAGGAGTTGTTGCGGAGGATTTCTTCATCTTGTTTAAGCATCGCCAGAAGGATTCTACGGATAACGTATGCCCCAAGTTCTGATGGGCGGTTGTCAGACCGAAAAGCAGACCATTGAGAAACTCTGGTCGGCCGGGAGGGCCGACGCATTCAGGAGACAGCCACAGCGGCAACTGAAAGTTTTTTCATTCGGCCATGCAGGTCCTGCAATTATCCGTTCGAAAGTTGGACCTAAGTCCTGGCACGTGTTGTCACGGGGCAAGAATCGGCGGTGTCGGGTTGCATATGATTCTCCACGAGAGTGGTACTGATACTCATTGTAGCCAATGTCGCTCTGATCCCTGCTTGGAGTACCAAAGGTCTGGTGCATTGACACCTTCGGATGGACCCCAGCTCGCCTGGGCTCAGCACTAACCGCTGCGGCGTGCTTTGTACCTCGCCTTCGATCAGAAATTGAAAGATGCATTGGCCCTGGCCCGTTGGCCAGACCACAATCAACAAGCTCGTCCTTGACCGAGGCATTCTGCACCAATGCCTTCGCATATCGGAGGCAGGCAGCTGGCAGGACACGGACCTTTCGTGGAGTCTGGCTGTAAAGAGGTACATGATGAGACCCACGCGGACGGTCGCTGGTGCTGTTATCGGTGCCGACCTCGGTCGCTTCAAAACGCGCAATTTCTGGCCGTCTCTCCACGGTTCTGTTTTGGCACCTGCGTTTTCAGGCCTTGCATCCATCGGCCTGTCTTTTGCTGCTATGAGCATGGCCAAGAAGCCCCTGGTTGCGGCTTGGCTGACATTAGACCAACTCCGAGCTCAACATGTTTGTGCTTGACTCACAAATCGAATGTAGAAATCCGGCTGCGCAGGAGTACACGTACCCGCGGAAACATAGAAGTAGAACCAAAGTCGCTCACGGGCTTGCGGCAGCAGGTGATGGCTATTCTTTTCTGCCAATCATTTGGAGCATCTGGGTCGCATCTTCGGTGCTGTTGCCAACGCTTCAAACTCCCGAAGTCCCACGCCGATGGCGCAGATCACGTTCTTCAACCCCAGCGTGAACATCCTGATCGCGCGGTGCTGCCCCAGGGGCAGCCGAGGTCTGATCTTCGCCATGGACTCCATCGCGCCTTGGCTTCTGCTGTAGGGAAGACCGCACCGCCGGCTCGCCCGCTCGCTTACTCGCAGAGGCCTGCTCCTTGGGCCGCATCTGCTCACCAAGCATTGCCGGCTACCTGGTGGCATACGAAGCGAAAGCTTGGGTCGGGCTCCTTATTGGACTCCTCATGAGCAGGGCAGCAGGGCCAGGGGCCGTCAGAGACGGAGGAGGAGGAGGGGCAGGAGGCATGAACGGATGATCCCGAGCAATCCCGAAGTCTCAGCATTCCAGCATTTGCTTTATCCATTGGGTTCGGTTTGGATCTGGTGGTCCGGATTTGACACCCGAAAAAATACCCGGTAGAAAAGTAGTCAGCTGCAGCTGAACTTCGACCCCAATCAGAGACTCAACCGTACCGGGTGCTTTAAGCCCAGGCCACTTCTATGATCTGGGCCCTGGACCCGCTTTCCGGGTCGTCTCCTGGGCGTTGATGACTGCAGCAGGCCACGGAGATACAAAACCGCAGTTCCTGCGAGAGCGAGAGGGAGAGTGCCATCCTTTTTGACATCCCTTCAAAGCCCCATAACAAGTGGGGGGCCAAGAGGCCGGGGCACTTAACCGGTCCCCAATGCCTCAGGAAGAAGAGAGTACAGCTGAGCCCCTCAGGAAAATCCTCGAGGGGAAAAGTCAGACACCCACGAACTGCGGGTGGGCACAAGCGCGCGGGGCTTGGGGCAGGACGCACCGCGGAGAGGCATCGGGACTGGTGGTGCCTCACACCCCTAGCAAAGCAAGCAGAGAGAGCGAGAGAGCGGCAGCCTGCGTGGGGAGTGCTCGCGTGCTGGGCTTTGGCTGTGTGGATGGACGCCTGCGATGGTCGTGAGCAGGTTGTTGGGCCGGCGTCGAATGTTTCGAAACGGGAAAGCCAGACCGGAACCCACTCAACAGGTCTGTTGTTGCTGCCGGCACAAAAAGGCATTAGGCATGAGTGAAGGTGATGCTTGTGCTCGTTGCATGGCGGTGGAGCGAGGGTTCCCGAAACCTGAACTCGAGTTTCCTCGTTTGTCCTCGTTTGCTGCTTGCTTGCTCTCGGAGCTGCTTCTCCACACCGCACCTCCATTTCTCAGCGCGAATCTGTGGTGAGGGGCCTCGGCACAGGGCTCCGGCAGTGTGCTCTTTGTCCCAGACTGCTGAAAGACTGCTGAAGGACTGTTGGCAGCCGGAATAGGGGGTGGGGCGGACGGGTGGGAGGGTGGTGTGGACGGCGTGCTTCTTGAGTCCTTCTTTCCTTGTTGACGTCCAGCAACACTCTCTTGTGCATTTCTAAACATTTCTGCGCGAGACGGGGTGATGGAAGATCCCTCGGGTCAGTCCCACAAGAAGACAAGAAGGCAGATTTGTAATGTCCTCGGCAGCTGACGAGAGGTTTTCCTTGGTGGAGTTTGGTCGCAGAAGTTGTTTCCGAGCAAGCTCCCTTTTTTTCCATGCGTGGGGTCCGGGCTCAAGAATGGAGTGAGGTGTTCCCATCGTGCGGAAAGGATGGGAGATAAGCTACCTGGTGGTTGTTTTGCCAGTCAGTGAACTGCATAGCTCGGACCGAGTACATGCAGCGTGGATGCAGGATTGATGGCTTCGCAATGGCGTCTTCTGAACAGCTTGATTCCCCGCGACCCTCTGCCTGGCTCGTTTAAAAAGGAGCCGCCAAAAAGTCCAAGCCTTGAGCCTGTGACCTTCTTTATCTGCCCATGGAAGCAACAAAGCAACTTCAAAGCCAGAGCCACAGACCGAAGTTCATGCAAGCACGCAAGCTTCGTGCGCAGCTGTGCCATCGCAGCAATTCAAAGTCTCGGACCTTAAGCACTCCTGGGAGCTCCACGAAGCACGAGGACTGCAGAGCTCCGTGGCATGTGCCGCTGGAGATCTCACGAAGTTTTGGGGAGTCTCAGGGTTTCTCCAGACAGGATGCCATCTGCGAACTGCTTTCCAGAAGGACGTGGGGCAGTAGTCCACATAGTGCCCAGCCGTTGGATGACCGCAGAGTCGGTGCATTCCTCGATGGCTTGTCGGAAAGTGCAGTGAAGTCGCAGGCAACCAGGAGCCTGTCAAGCAACTTCACCCAGCTGCCACCTCATTTCTAGATTGGGGCAGGGGGCGGGTGGGCAGCCCGGCGCGTTTGTTCGCTTCATGCCGGTTCCCAGGTGTTGCAGCCGCCTCCAGGACTGCCGCCACCATCGCCGAAGCCTCTGATCTCTTGCTCACAAGCACGGTGCTCCCCACTCCGATCATGAGCCTGCATCCGCTCAAAGGCTCAAGACGCCGTCGAGTGGCTTGGGCATTTAACCAGAGCATTGTGATCGACGACTTTTGGTGCATTGTCGAACTTCTTAGGTGCCATTCTTGAAGCCCTGGCACGGGTTCAAGCAGATTGTGCTTCACAGGCTGAAGCGGACAAGGGGAATGCAGTACTGAGAGGTCGTACGAACGTCGCAGGACCTTACGGATAGTCGCATGATGCAGCATGCAGGTCACATTTGCAGGCCGGAAGAGAAGGGCTTTTGTTCAGGCACTGGATGCTGCCATTCTGGCTGCGACTGCGAAGCCTTCAATGACGCATTCACGCCAAAACAGCAAGTCGTCGGATCCCTAGGTCTTGATGATTCTTGATGGTTAGAGTTTGTGCACCTGCCGCAGCATTCCCTCCATCTCCAGTGCCCCTGGCCCAGGTGGTGCGAGTCCTGGTCCCAGGCTTCCACGGCTTCGGAGGAGCCGGAAGACCTGCGTCAGCCGGCAAAAAAAACACATGCAAAAGGGTACATGCCGAAGTGGCAGAAGGTGCTCTTAGCTGTAGGTTTCGCGTCTTTGCGGGTATGACTGTCACCTCTTCACAAGTTGATCGCAGGCTGTCATTAGCTCATAAAGCATGCCGGGCAGCAAGCTGTGGCTTCCGAAGCCGTATACTTGCAGAGCACAGAAGACCGCCAGGTGATTTTGAAGACAAGGTGCAGCAGCGAAGATCTCTTGGAGCTGGTTGGTGGTGCTGAGTTTGACACCGTATGGACTACTGACTACTGCTTCAGTTGTTTGGAATTGCCAGACGAGTCGAGCATGAGAGGCATGGACTTGTATAGCACTGTTTAGAAGCACAGTGCATGAAGATGCTCAGGTAAACTCCCTTTTACCCATGCTCATTCAGGAATCATTAGGAATCTGAGTGGCCGCTCGCTGGTACATGGTTGCAGGTAAAGCCGAAGCCCCGAGCCCTTCCACGCCGAGGAGCTCGCTAGGATAGGACGCGATTAGGTAATGGCGCCTGCTGTGCAGCCAATGTAGCGAGCCAACGCCAATCACCCAAGTTAGCTTAATTTGGCCGTACCGAGAGGAGCACACAGCTGTTATGGCGGATTGGGGCCGAACTTTCAACCCGGGCAACCTGCATATGTAGACGCCTCAGCAGCCATGCGAGGCCAGGCCAGCCCAGTTCACAGCAACTTCCAGCATCAGTCGAACCGAGGTCACACCAGCAGCCCGAAGGTTTCCGACTGCCTGTGCTGCGCCCTCAAAGTGGGCGCTGTACGAAATAATAGTGGGTACGCGATATCCGGGCAGGTCGCATGTAGAGGTGTTGTACGGCATGGGGTTTTATTGGGATAAGTGATAAGTCCCAACTGCTGCAATACAAGGCCAAGCTGGACTCCTTGAGGCGAGCATATTGCACCAAAACTGGGCATCGACTATTTTGTATCTGTTCTCAGTCACGCGGGTCCACCCAAAGTTTCAGCGGAATGACATATGCTGTTGGCTGTCTCTCCAACAGCATGTGTTTGCAGTTCCAGCCCGTGAGTGCCGAATTTGTGAAGGCTACCGGCTGACAATAGGAAACACAGCGTGGATGACCTCCGGATGTCTGGGCTCACCGCTGGCGCAGGAAGGATTCTCGATTTGCTTGCTGAGGAAAGGTGATGATGTTGCTTCGTGAATTTGGGTGGAGAGACTTTGGACTTTGAAAGCAATGCTGTCCTTTGAAGCGTGGTGAATGAGCTTGCTCTGGCCAAAGCGCTTTCGTAGCAGGAACCTCGCCAGGCTGTCCCAGTTGTGAGTGCAGAAGTGCGGAAGCGCGCTTCATATCGCCAGTCAGCAACGCTCAACTCTTTGAGGCTTTTATTGAATCAAGACTGACATGTTACGGATCGTCGATTTCGGGATGGGTTTAAAAGCCGCATTTCTGCACAGAGCTTGCTGCTGGCTCTTGACTCTTGATATGGCTGAAGCATGTCAGTTCCTTTAAAGCCATCGTGAGATAACCTGAAAGCCTAGGACTGACTGACTGACTGACTGACTGACTGACTGACTGACTGACCGACTGACTGTAATCACATATCACCGCAAGTCATTGCTTAGTCTTTCTACTCTTCCCCAATGCATGGTGACTCTCTGGGGTTGTGCAATGTTCTTGTCATTGTTATTGCTATAACTATCACTACTACTGTTGCTATTGGTATTACTATTGCCCGTGTTATTCTCAGCATCATCGCCACAGAAACTTGCGCCTTCTCACAAAGCAACGCTCGGGACCCCGCCTTGCGCGCTGGTCCCCGGGCCGGCCTCGCCCGGTTTGGTAATGGTATGTGATAGTAACCGTAATAGTGGTCGTAACAACAAAAACGTAATCATCATACTAATGGTAGTAATAACGGTGATCATATGAATGATATTAATGTGAATAGACTGCCTTTCCGTACATGACCAGGGCTTGACTCATGGACAGCAGCCGTAGGAGCCAGGCTTGGGTGCCTGAGTTCGGGAGCCGGGTGGTTGCCAGAGGTGACGGTGTCATTCACTTGACTAGTGCGCTTCATGTCAGGTGGGTGCCGTCATTCGATTTTCAGCATGTTTTGGGCATCCTTCAAGATATGCACAATTACAGTTACCTTCAGGTCGGCGGGCAAAGGCTACGCATGGGATGATGCGAAGTCGACGAGCTGAGGAGCTTTGCATAGGGCTGAACCATCATTGCCCGCTCGAAGCCGCTCGGAAGACCCTCTTGAACGGTAGACCTGTCACCTGTGCCCG